TTCTGGGGGGGCGTCGAATGACCACCTCACCGATGCTGGCAAGGCCCATCCTGGGCCCAAGATCGGCGCATACCCCTGACATCCTCCCGTTGCGGGAAACAAGAAAACATGATGGCGGGTATCTGCCCATTTCCACCCTCCGGGGGCCCCCCCAGCGGGCCCCAGAGCCGCCAAACCACGAACCCTGTATGATAAACAGGCCCCTGGGGAACTGCATTGCAAACAAATGTAGACGAAAGATGTCTGGGGCAGACCCATCCTGGGCCCAGGACAGGTACAAACAGTCAGCCTGCTGACACAAAGGACGCCAGACGAGGGACGGCGCGCCCCTCATTTTTGGACCCAAGAGCGCCCAACGTGCCCGAACAGCGCCAAAGAACGACCATGACAGGACCTCATGAACCGCGAGCCCCATGCGAACCCGAACGGATCATTGTCTCAGCGTCTTGTCTGCACGCCCTCCTGGCGTGGTCAGGGAGGGGGGCATAGTTACACCGATGCTGGGCCCAGGGTCGGCCTGGCCAGGAACGGTGAGGTGATCGGTCGACGCAGCCCCGAAGGTTGGAGGATCGAAGGTCGAGGATCGAGGGAATCTCTGGCCCCTTTCAGACCTCCCGAGGCCTGTGGTCCTCTGGTCACATCCGAGCATTCCCCAAAGGACCTCTGGAGAAGGAGGACCCATTTGTTGGGCGTACTTGTCGATCTTCTTTCGGCCTCCTCGGGGACTCTCGTCGCCACCTCTTTGCCTGGTGGTGGAGAATGGTGGGAGGCAGAGAGGGAGAGAGAGACCTATATATATAGAGAGAGAGAGAACAAAAAAAGAGAAAGAGAAAGAGAGAGAGAGAGAGGGGGAGGCAGGGAGGGCGGGAGAGGGAGGGAGGCTGGCTGGCTTGAGAAAGGGGGCGCGATGAACGAGAATGGAGTGGGCGATAGCTCTATATGCTACCTTGTATTTCGTGGTGGGCAGGCATACGGGCGTCCACGTGCGAATGCGTGTGCGAGCGCGTCAGCGTGCACATGTCGAGGACATGTGTGATGTGAGTACGCGTGTAAGTATGGGTGTGAGTGTGAGTGCGCACAAATGCAAGTGCAAGTCCCAGCGAACATGCAAGCGCAAGTGCACTGGATGTACAGTTTCATGTGCAAAGTGCAAGAGCGTGTGTAGAGGCAGATGCGGGCGCCAGTTCAGACACTGACAGAGGCAGCTGCAAGTGTAAGCGTGACTGGATGCAACGCGTAAATGAAAGCGCAGCTGCGCGTCCAAGCATCAGTGCAGGTGCATAGTTGCATAGTGCGGGTGAAACGTCAAGCGCTTCTCTGCAGCGGGGGTGGAGCTGCATCCGAAAGCGAGCTGGCAGTCAAGAGCGTATCGTGGCGCGGTGGTATGAGCGCCAGCTTCTCCTCCGAAAGGCCGCCAAGATCACTATCGGATCGGCGGACACGCCAAGAAATGGCCGCCGTCGTCCTCGCCGTCGTTGTCCTCGTCGTCGTCGCTTTCTCGTCCACCTTCTTTGCCGATGTCCTTCGGCGGCTCCGACACGGGGCCCTGAAGGATGTGGCTCTGAGGATGGGAAGGGATCCCAGGCTGAATCTGCACTCGTCGAGGCCCCTCGTCCTGAGGGCCCCATCCCTCAGGGCCCCATCTCTGAACCGCCGAGTCATTCTCCACGGGGAAACGTTGGGGGGACTGGCTCAGGCAGGAAACTTCGACGTGAAATCGGCGATACCTCGCCGACAGATCGGTGACAGGCCACCGATAGCGAAACCGCGCGTTCCTAGGCGGGGTGGGCTATCAGGCCCCCATCGACGATGAAGGAACGATTGGGGGTCGATGCATCCTCCCCTAAGTGCCATTGGAGGAGGCACAGGCAAGAGCCAGACATGCCCAGACAGACCCCGATATCCTCGATGTGTTCGGCGTACGCAGCCGAATCGGCACGCCCCCCCCCCCGCCATGGACTGCAGCAGCCCGCCGCGGTGCGCCGGCGACAGCAGCCCCTGCCGCCCAACCGGCTGTCTCTCCTCTCCCCCTCTCCCACTCCCTCTTCCTCTGTCTCTCCCTCCCGCTCTCGCTCTCCCCTTTTCTGTCTCTCTCTCTCTCTCTCTCTCTTTCTCCCTCTCCTTCCCTCTCTCTCTTTCCTCTCGCCCTCGCCCTCGCCCTCTCCATATCATTATCCCTCTCCCTCCCTCCCTCCCTCCCCTTCCTCGCTTTCCCGCTCGCCGCTCTACCTCTTCCTCTCCCACCCTCTCTCTCTCCCTCTCCTTCCCTCGCTCTCGTTCCTTGTCCTTCTCTCTGTCTCTCTTTATCTCTCTTTCTCTCTCTTTTTGTTTTGTCGCGCTCTCTCTCTCTCTCTCTGAAGCGCACAAGCATGCTGCTTGTCTCGCCGCCGCCGAGAAAAGCAGCATGCTTGTGCGCTGTCCGTTTGTTTGGTTCTGTCTGTTGAGGACTCCACAGGGCTCAGGGGAACCCCAGAGGCCTCCAGCACATCCGAACAGCATGTTGTATGCGAATGTGTGTGTGACTGTGTGTGAACGTGTGCGAGATGTGTGTGTGTGTGTGCGTGAACGCGTGTGCTCTTGTATGAATACGTGCGAATCTGCTTGAATGTATGTATGTGCGTGTGTGTGTGTGCGTGTGTGCGTGTGCGTATCTCTCTCCCTCTCTCTCTCTCGTTGTTTGTTGTGGTTGTTCTTCTCTCGTTATCTCTCTTGTTGTCTCTATGCTGTTGTCTCCCTCTCCCTTTGAACTTACAGATTTTCGTGTATATAAGTATAGAAACACTTACTCTCTCTCTCTCTCGCACCCTCGTTCCCTCTGTCTCTCTCTCTCTCTATTTCTTTCTCCTTCTATCTCGCTCTCTCTTTCGTTTTCAAGCGAATACCTTCAACGCTCGCATATACAATGTAACCAGGGTATGGGCTCTGGGACCGTCATTGACATGATAGGTGATGAGAAGCCCGCCCTGGGGATGGGGTCGCGACCTCCAGGGCCCGCCTTATTGAAAAGGTAAGGCGTCGGGAGTGTTTTATCTACCGTTCTTGACTTCTCTCTCGTTCTCTCTCCCTCTCTCTCATGTGCTGTGTCTCTCTCTCTCTCTCTCTCTCTGCAGATACATATATATATGTATATATATATATATATGTATCCATATTACGCTTCCCCCCCTCTCTCTCACTCTCTCTTTGGAAGCGGCACCCTTTCCCCCATTCTATGTGTTCAGGGGGCAAAGAAGAAAGGTTCAGTGCCAACTTCTGAGAGGTCTTCGCAGGAACGACTAAAACTACGAACTGATTAAACCCGATGGGACCAACTAAACTAAACTCAAAATGACACAAGATTGAGCCGGATGAAACGGAATTGAGCGGGACTCTACTGGCGCAGGCCGGTTTTTGATCACGGATATACCAGCGCCAATGCTCAATTCGGCCTCGAAGGAGTTGAATCCTGAGGCGCATCTCGATCACAGGTTCGCGCTGCCTGGGGAGCCATAGCTAACAGGAAGCTGCAAGCACACATGCCGGGTCCACGCGTGGAACGTCGGGGGGGCCACGCGCTGGACGCACGTGCGGCAAAGAGGCGTACCTGGCAGCGGAAGAACCGAGCGCTGGAGAGGCATCCGTCCACGTGTAGACCAACATAATCATAGATCATGGGCATCGTCCCCGACAAAAGAGGATCCAGCTAGTGGTGCGTACACGTCTTCCTCGTATAGTGAACGAGTATCCTGAACAAAAAATACCCAGGATCGCAGGCCAGGCAAAATCAACACGTGCGTCGAGTGGAACTCGCCCGCTGTCCCAGCACTTTCCGTGCATGATGTGAGGAGCTCGAACTGTACACCAATTCGCCTGGTCGGCCGAGGAGCTCGGTGTATTAGACGCCCAAGCTTCCCGAGCTTATACATTAGAACGACTATACACCGAATTACTTCGCCGAATTCTCTGGCTCGCTAGCCCGCCACACGAAGTGGCGTACACGTGGAGGCGTCACCGACCTGCACTGCCGCGGGCCTCCCTCCCTTAGTGCGAAGGCGATGGAAAAGACGCGCTTTCAGAAGAACGCGAGGTTCCTCGCTCGCGACCGTGGGCACCCACACGGGCGCTCAGGCAGCGATGGCTCCTCGTTCCTCCTCCTCCGCCCGAGGGGGGCGAGCCGGGCGGGGCGGGGCCGGGGCCCGCGAGCGCCGTGGCCCGGTCCCCTCCGCGCTCCTGCAGTGGAACCACAGGCCCTCCAAAGACGGCAGGCGCTTTGGCCGAGATCGACACGGCGGGCCTCGGCTGCCCTCAGCGCTCAGAAGTACCCCGCGAGGGTTTTCAGACGGCCCCCCAGTAGGGGCTCGATGATGCTTAGAGCGTGCGCTAGCGCTAGCCAGCGCTTGTCCATCGAAGCCCTCAGGTACGGCGCAGGCGGAATGGTGATCTGCCGCTGGAACTGAACGGGGCAAGCATACGTGGGCCCAGCTCAAGTCTGAGAGGAATCGACTCAGGAGGGGCGCTCTGGAGGCTGCCTGTGCCCCCCTGGAGGTGTCGGGGACCGCCCGGGGCAAGGGCCGCCAAATGGCGGCACGGCCTCCACGTGCTTTGGCGGGCGCCCACCGGCGCCGGATCGGAGCCGCTGGCACCAACAGGCGAGGAGCACTAGGTGCGGGGTCGAGGAGGCACAGGAGCCAGTCGCTGTCGCCCGGGCTCGGCTGGGTCTGCGAGGGGAACGCGCGCTCTCGCCGAGGCTGCGTGCGCCGAGCAGGCTGGCAGCTTCGCCCGGCGGCCTCTCGCCACGACTTTTCGGGGCGTGCGCCGCCACGAGGAGAAGCCCGGCTGGGGTGAGTGGCCAGGGGCGTGGCCCGGGGGCGGCGAGATCGAGGCAGATCCACATCTGTGCACTGCTCCTGGCCAGGTCCATCCTGGGCCAAAGAGCGGTGCCTTCGGCCGCTAGCCTTGGCTCGGGAGGCTTTCGGGGCATGCCGCCGCGGGGAGAAGCCCAGAAGGCTGAACAGCACGAGCGTTGTGACGAGATGCGAGGCGGGAAAGTGTCCGTAACCACCGCCTGGGGGATCTATCCCGAGGGAGCAGAATCAATATCAATAATACGCCGCCGTGGGAGACCCATCAGCGTGGTGCTGTTGAGGAAGCACCAGACAATCGGATGAAGGACGACAAAAACACACAGACTGGCTCCCGTCGGCAGCGTGCTATTGATAATGTTTCCCTCCCGAGATGTTCGGGGATCTCGGCAGGAGGTGGACGTGGATATCTACGTAGATACATACACAAAGCAAGAAACATCTTTAACCTGCAAGCTTGGCAGATATAGGCCCTTCGCGGCATTATCTGCGGGTCGTGCTCCAGCATGTATATACTATGATGCGCTACGTGTGATTTTTTGGGTCGTGCGCTGCCCTTCGGGATACACGTGTCCTCTGAGTCGTGCTCCAGCACGTATCAACTCGGATGCACTACTCATGATTCCTCTGGGTCGTGCGCTGTCCTTCGGACTGCACTTATCCACTGGAACGGCACGGCATTTCACTGGAGCGAGGTTCCGTCCGCCTTCTCGTCCGCTTTGTCCTCGGTGGAATCATCCGTCGTTTTCATCTCCTGACTTGTCTTCCCCCATTCTCTCCCTCCCCTCCTTCCCTTCCTTTATCCACTGATGGCGGTAGTGTTGAAGCCTCTCGGGGCCTCTTGGGGGCCGGTTGGAAGCCTCTTGGGGCTTCTTTTCGGCGTCTCTGCGGGCCTCGTGGGGCTGTCTTGGAGCGTCGAGGACCCTATTGGGCCGTTTCGGGGCCGTATTGAGGTTTTCTTGGACTGGTTCCTCCGGGTGGAGCGCTGTCCTTCGGGCTGCACGTATCCACTGGGACGGCACGGCACTGCACAGGAGAGACGGTCCGTCCGCCTTCTCATCCGCTTTGTCCTCGGTGGCTGTCGTCAACATCCCCTGATTTGCATTCCCCAATGTTCCCCCTCCACTCGTGCCTTTCCTCTATCCCCTGATGGCGGCAGTTTGGAAGCCGCTCGGGGCCTCTGGGGGGCCATTTGGGGGCCTCTTGGGGCTTATTTTCGGTGTCTAAGGGGGCCTCGTGGGGCCCTCTTGGGCGCCTCTTGGGCGCCTCTTGGGCAGTCTTGGGGCGTCTTGGGGCGTCTTGGGGCCGCCTTTGAGGCGCTCTTGCGGTTCTCTTGGGCCGTCTTGGGCGCCTCTTGGACCGTCCAGGGGCCGCCTGAAGCCGTCTTAGGGCCCTCTTGGGGGCCTTCTGGGGCGTCGTGGGGTCAAACTTATAACATCGTAATGCAAACTTGGACAATGCCAAAACGGAAAACGCGAGAATGCTACAAAATGCACGTTCTCCCATGGGATTGGGACACACTTTCTTTTGGGGGGCCCTTTTGGGGGTTCTCCGGAGCCCCCTTGGGGCGTCTTAAGGGCCTTGTGGGGCGCCCTGGGCCCTGGAGCCCACGGGGAAATCTTTGCAGGGGTGTCCAGGAGGTCCTGGAGGCCAAGGGTCCACGGGGTCCAATGAGTCCCCGAGGCCCAGGATGCGGGGGGTCCAGTTTCCGGAGGGAGGGGGTCCAGGTAATAAAAATGTACGAATGGGAATATACACATCGCCCCCCTCCCCCCAACCACCAGGGCCCGAGAATACATCCGGATACACCGCCTTCCGAAGCCCCAATGATCCGTCCCGCAAACGGTAGTTATCGATAAACACCCGCCTCGGACGAGAGACAGCAGCCCAGTGGAGCGTGAATGGATGGCTGTGAGAATAAAGAGGGTACAGACGCCGATAGGGGTGATGCGTGGTAGCACGCATGGTTACTGCCATGCAGAGTTGACCACGTAGGGTTCGCCATGGTGCCCTGGTGCGCCTACTCGCCCCGATCGCCAACGATGAGGCAAGCGGCGGCCACCAGTGGCAAAGACTACGCTGGTAGACTGACAGAAGGTCGATCGGGAAGGTGCACAACACCATGGATGCCGAGGTTCGAGAACCTTGCCTTACTCTCCTTCCTGATTCCCAACATCGGGCTACTCCCACCAGCCCTCTGACAAGATGGGCCCGCGAGGTATCCAAGGCGGCCCCAAGACGGCCCAAGATCGTCCCAAAAGCGCCCAAACAGGGTCCCAAGAGGCGGGCTTGAGGTCCCCAAGAGTGGGAGCCGAAATCGGGCTACCCTCCTTTGATCGATGGCCTCCGAAAGTTACCCAAGAGGTCCTCCCGGGGATCAGTGGCTCCCCGAAGTCTCTGCCTTAACAATTCATGGCATCCTGACGCCCCTCCTCCATACAGGTCTCGTCATGGGCAGCTTCTCGGGATGGACTAGTGGGGATGCGCGAAACGTTCAGAAATCTATCTAAACGTATACATACACACATAAAAAACCAAACATAACTAATACATATATGTTGTGAATGCATGATACCCCCAGACTATATCATATATAATCGCATATGTGTAACTATAGGTGTCTTGTCCTTATATAATATAATGGCTACTCACCTGATGTGATCCTCGCGTCGAACTGGTGGGCTTGATGTCCCACCACCTCTAAATAGGACACTCGAACTGACACATCTACTTCATCACCCCCATCAGCGTCAGCATGGTTACATCAATCGTCAACGCGATGTGTCAACCTATGCAAATCGAGGTACGTGAAATATTACCCGTCCTCGTCGTCCTCCTCATCTTCACCACTACCACCATCAACAACATGGCCATCAACAACCACATGACCACCATCATGCACTTGCTCCGTTACATGTTGCAGCGTCTGCAGACTGGACACATGGCAGATCCCCTTGCAGCGGACGCCTACGCTAAGACGACCGACTTGTCGTGCCCGCTTGGATGGGGTAAGAGCAGCAGAAGGAGAAGGAGACGACGCGAACGAGGATAGAAGGACGAGGAGAACAAGAAAAGACACGGGGAGCGCACAGCACAGTGGCTTACTTGCACTGTGCTTCTCAGTCGCGCAGCAGGGTGCTGTGCAGTTGCACTTCTCGGGCCACACACACCACCAACGAGGCGGCGGCGCCAGCCCCCGCCAGCAGAGCGCAGATCATCGTGACCACCGACATGCCGAGCACCTGGCAGGCGGTTCACTTGGGAGGCAACTTCTGGGAGGACATCGTCAGAACGACCAAGGGCGAGTAAGACCGATTCTAGAGCCGTCAAGCCGAATTGGCCCCGGATTCATTCCGGGATTTAGCCAAAGTGATCCGAAGGAAGATTCAGCTGGGTCGAGCGGGATTGAGCCAAATTCGGCCTGCCTGCGGCAACGGATCTACCAGCGCCGATGCTGAATGCAACCTCCCAGGAGTTGCATCCTGAGGTTTTTGCGAAGCGGGGAATGATCCACATCAACCGCTTGGGGAACCGCAGTCTTGGGACCCTCGGCCCGAGAGTGCAGTGGCCCCCGAAGACCGATCCCCCAGGCGGCGGTGAAGTACGAGCCCGCCCCAGACTTCATCACGTCTGCAGCAGGAGCACGAGAAGGGACAACAAAGTCGAGAAAACCTGAGACGAACGCCGAGCCTCGGAAACGAAGCAGTGCGTGCATGGATAATTATGTTTCGCCTCCCCTAGAGGAAGCAAGCGTTGCATAAACACTGACAATGGAAGCTCCGCGCGAATGTCTTGGATCGGAACTGGGAGCCCCAGGGAGCGCGCCTCCTGCTCCTCCTCCTCCTTCTCCTCCTCCTCCTTCTCCTCTTCCTCCTGCTCCTCCTCCTCCTCCTCCTCGTCCTCATTCATCCTCCTCATCCTCCTCATCCTCCTGCAGGCTAATCGATGCACATGGCCCTACGTGGACATGTCACTGTGTACTCAGGCCAGCGCCACTCACCGCGCCGATCTGCCGAGTCGAACGGGCGCCAACCCCGCCGCACACAAATCTGACGGCCTCTCCCATGCGGACAAGTACTTCGCTCACTTACTCGGTGTTCTGGCTGTCGCCTGTCGCCTGCCACCGGCCCTGTCAACACTTCACGACAAAATGGTCGATCACCGATCCTGGTCGAAAAATCCGCTCAAAACCAGTCCCCCATACATCCTGGTTGGTCTTCTATCCTGGATAGATGGTGGAACAGCCCCAGGGAACGAAAAGGACCGTCTGGTGCCAAACGAAAACAGCAACAACCACAACAACAACATCGGACCAGAACAACAACAAGAAACACCTCATCGACTACTATCATGTTTTCCTTGATCAACCCCTCCTGATGGGAGCGGGGTGTGGATCGAGGATCCAGGATCGAGGGGGTCAGAAGGAGGGAGGGAAGGAAGGAGGGGAGGAGGATGGACGGGATGAGGAAGGGAAAAAAGAGGAGGGAGGAAGGGGAGGAGGATGGTGGAGGGGAGGCAGGGGAGGAGGGTCGGGGATTGAGAATCGAGCAGGTGGAGGGAAGGGGGGAGGGCTTCATCCTCCCTCCCCCCCCTCGTTTCGAGGGGGCCGAAAGCGGTGGATAACCAAGCGGGAGATTAGCGAATGAGCTGCACGCGGCTGGTTCTCCTGTCGCCCCCACGGCACCCGATGCGGCCACGCATGGAGTAGAGCGCGCGGCGGCGGAGCCCAAGCCAGCTGCACGCGCAGTTTTCGGACCCACCCCCTTTTTTCATAATGGGCGTCCACGGCGACAGCAGATTCGACAGCCGACCGAACCGACAGCGAAGCTGAGGCGAAACTGATGGACCGAAAGCAGCCCCCAGAAGGCCGCAGCGAAGTCTCCACCAGCATCTGCTTAGTTCCGCTCCCTTCCTCGCCACACTCCTCCACCTCCATGGAAGTCCCAGGTCCACACAGGTCCCGAGAGGAATCGGGGGCCCGTGGAGACCTCTGGAGGCATCCCCCCACTCACACCGTCCCCGCCCCACCCAACTCCCGAAAACAACATCCAGAAACTTCGATCCTCCTTCTGCTCCTCCTCTTCCTCCTCCTCCTCCTCCTCCTCCTCCCCCTCCTCCTTCCCCTCCTCCTCCTCCCTCTCCTCTTCCTCCTCTTCCCCCTCCGCCTCAACCGTCCCACCGCCGCCGCTGAGAGCAGGGGCGTCCTGCATGCCCGAGCCGACGGACACGGACAGCAGGGTCGAGAAATACGGCCTGCGGAACACGTCGCCTGCCGCGGGGGGCGAAGGTGGAAAACCGGGCAACAACACCTCGCCCAGGGGGACGTCTCCCCCGGGCCCGCCGGCCTCATCGAGCAGGGAGAGCTGCAGCGGATCCCCAGGCAGGCACATAAGAAAAAACAACCCCACAGACATAGGCTTTTGGAGGCTTGGCTTCGGGCTGCGCCAGGGTGAGGGGGGCCTGTTTACGGGAACCAGCGATGACATAAGCATAATAAGTCAGAGGTCCGTGCGGATTCCTCAGGTCGGCGATGAGGACCCGGGGGGGCGCCTCCGACGCCGCCCCTGGCGCGCTCCGCACGCCAGGGAGGGGGTCCAGCGCAGATCCAAGGAATCCGCGCGAAGCTCCAAAAGTTCAAGTTTATGCAATCCTTTTATGACAGAAACCTCCACGGACTACTCGTGGGGGCCTGTTGAGGCCGCCTGGGACTCCTCGGGGGGTGGGGCTGTCTATGCGCAACCCGAAACCTTACCAGGGGGAGCGGAGGGCACTGCGAGGCAATGATCGATCCTCCATTTTCGGTCTCCAGGGGTCCTCGCCAGGCCCAGGACTATAAAAAACCGCTCGGGATGAAAAGTCAAGCCCGGGACACGAGGGGAGGGCGAGGCTGTGATATATCCATCATTTGGGGGCAACTTCTAGGACATCTGCGCAAGAACAATTCACGGCGATCAAACCCGCTTACAAAGAAAGTGGGCCAGACTGACACAATTTAATCTCAAGGCTAAACCGGACTGACCCGGACTACGGGATGATGCAGGATGGGGCCAGATAAGGCGTCCCTCCATCACGGAATCGCGAACCCTGGGGAACCAGAGCTGCCAGGAAGCTGGAGGCACACCTGCTGGGCCCACGCGCGGAATATCCGGGAGCCACGCGCTGGATGCATGCGCGGCCACCAGGCCTGGAGGATCGATCGTCGGGGACCTCGGCAGGCGGCGGATGTGGACATGCTCGGGTCCTGGGGTGGGCAGACAAATCCATATCCACCGCCTGCCGAGGTCCCCGAAGATCGGCCCCTGTGGGAAGGCGAAAACCCACCCCCATCCCCAGTCCCGACCCCGTCCCCGAACCCGCGATCCAGGGGGTCGGGAATGAGGGTGGGGGTGGCCTTTCGGGGCCCAACAATGGAGAACCCCCCACCCCGTCCCGACCCCTCAAATCGCTGGCTAGGGGATGGGAGTCGGGGCTGGGGGTGGGGGTGGGTTTTCGCCTTTTGACCCTGAGCGGTCTGGTGGTGGATGCATCCTCGTCTCGCAGAAGAAGACTGGGACAGCGTCAGGTCCGTGTCGTGACGTCGTCGACACTATTTTCTGACACCGCGTGACTCGCTCAACCTTTGACGATCGCGGCTTTCCGATAATGCCGATCGTTCGGCGCGGGCTGAATTTAGGCCACCTGCGGCGTCCATTTCTGAAAATCGCGACGGGGTCGATGCCGCGTCCACGCGGCGCGACCCTACCCTGTTGTAGCCTGCCTCTGAAAAGCCGGTCCATTGTGTTGCCACATATGCAATGCGAGCTATGTGGTGCCATCTATGTGGTGCAATTATGTTCTGTTCGCAATGAGTTGTCCACTCCACTGCTCGCTCGCGCAAACATCCCACCCACCCACCCGCAACTTGGTTTGCAAAATCTCTTAAGACCGTGAGGTGGGTACCAAATTGCACTTGGCAACGACAGCGACGCCGACGACGACAGCGACAACGACGACGACGACGCCGACGACAACGACTACGACGACACCGACGACGTGTCCAACGACTTCGACGACGCCGACAACGACGACGACGACGACGACACCGACGACAACGACGACGCCGACGCCGACGACGACGACGATGACAACGACGACGACGATGACGACGCCGACGACGACGACAACGACGACACCGACGACGACGACGACGACGACGTCAACGACGCCGACGACGACGACGACGACGCCGACGACGACGGCGGCGACGACGACGACGCCGATGTCGACGACGACGAAGACGACGACGACGCCGACACCGACGACGACGAAGACGACGACGACGTCGCCAACGAAGACGACGACGAGGAAGGAGGGAGGACGACGACGGCGACAACGACGACAACGACGAGGGAGGAGGGAGGACGGCGACGACGCGAACGACGAAGATGGAGGAAGGACGGCGGCGCCGACGACGACAACGACGAGGGAGGAGGGAAGACGACGACGACGAGAACGACGACGACGACGGCGACAAAATAGGAGGCACGACGACGAGACGCCGACGACGGACGACGACCACGACGAGGGAGGAGGAGGAAATACGACCACGGCGACAACGACGACGGAAACGACCACGACGCCATAGAGGACGACGACGACGAACACGAGAAAAAACAGAGGACGACGTAGGCGACGACGACGACGACGCGGGAGGAGGGAGGACGGCGACGACGACGACGACGCAAGAGCGCGCGCGCACGCTTCTGTTGAAAAGCCGTGCTGCGAGACCTTGTGTTCTTGTAGGTTTCTTGGACACACGATGTTGACATCCTTCCGAAACCGATGGGTTTTGAAAGTTTTCGGCATACGCGCGCGACGACGCGCGCGTCCGCATCTCGTCCCATTTTTTGCAGGAGATTCTCGCGACGGCACACGCGCAAGGGCGTTCGACAGATTGCGACATGCGATCGCGCGAAGCCCGTTTGGTAGCATTTTGTGAAAATCTTGACAAACCTATGGTTTCTTAAGATTTCGCAAGAAACTCGCGCGGAAACTTTTTTAGCGAATGAGTGTTGCGAAACCGTGTGTTTCTGTATGTGTTTTGGAAACTTGATTGCGAAATCCTTCCGGCACCGAAGGTTTTTGAAGGATTTCGGCATGCGCGCGCGACGACACACGCGTGTTGACTTCGTCACATTTTTTGCAAGGGATTCGCAAAAAAGTGCTATGCTAGAACAAAAAATGTTACCGCATAGTGTTTTTTTACAAAGGACCCTCAGGGGGGGGAACCCGGCCCCCCCGAGGGTAGTGTAAATTCATATTTAGGATGGACATGTAGTCAGAATCATACATGATTTACATACCCGAAAAGTGGACCGATAACCCCAGGGGGGCAGAGTGTATTCTGTTTTCAGAAAGGAGAATATATGGGATGCAAGCTATGTGATGCAACCTGTATGGCGCAGTTTATGGTGTGCAACCTATGTGGTGAAGCTAATCTTTGACCGTCTTGAAGCTGTCCTCTCCACTGCTCGTGCAAACATCCCACCCTCCCACCCGCAACTTGGTCGCAAGACCTCTTAAGACAAGACCGTGACGGTACGTACCACATGACACTTGGCCACGACACCGACGCCGACGACGACAGCGACAACGACGACGACAGCGCCGCCGACACCGACTACGAACGACACCAACGACGACTCCAGCGACTTCGACGACGACAACGACGACACCGACGACGACGACGACGACGTCAACGACGCCGCCGACGACGACGACGACGGCGACTACGACGACACCGACGACGTCTCCGACGACTTCGGCGACGACAACGACGCCGACGCCGACGACGACGAAGACGACGACGACGTCGCCAACGAAGACGACGACGAGGGAGGAGGAAGGACGACGACGGCGACAACGACGACAACGACGACAACGACGACGGAGGAGGGAGGACGGCGACGACGCGAACGACGAAAATGGAGGAAGGACGGCGGCGCCGACGACGACAACGACGAGGGAGGAGGGATGACAACGACGACAACGGCGACGACGACGACGGCGACGAAATAGGAGGGACGACGACGAGACGCCGACGACGGAGGACGAGGACGACGAGGGAAGAGGAGGAAGGACGACCACGGCAACAACGACGACGGAAACGACCACGACGCCAAAGAGGACGACGACGACGAACACGAGAAAAAACAGAGGACGACGTAGGCGACGACGACGACGACGCGGGAGGAGGGAGAACGGCGACGACGACGACGACGACGACGCAAGAGCGCGCGCGCACGCTTTTGTTGAAAAGCCGTGTTGCGAAACCTTGTGTTTTTTGTATGTTTTCTGGACACACGATTTTGACATCCTTCCGAAACCGATGGGTTTTGAAAGTTTTCGGCATACGCGCGCGACGACGCGCGCGTCCGCATCTCGTCCCTTTTTTGGCAGGAGATTCTCGCGACGGCACACGCGCAAGGGCGGTCGACAGATTTCGACATGCGCGCGCGCGAAGCCCGTTTAATAGCATTTTGTGAAAATCTTGACAAACCTATGGTTTCTTAAGATTTCGCAAGAGCTCGCGCGGAAGTTTTTGTAGCGAATCAGTGTTGCGAAACCGTGTGTTTTTGTATGTGTTTTGGAAACTCGATTGCGAAATCCCTCCGGCACCGAAGGTTTTTGAAGGATTTCGGCATGCGCGCGTGACGACGCGCGCGTGCGCACTTCGTCCCATATGTTGCAAGGGATTCGTGAAACAAGCGTCATGCTAAAACAAAAAATGTCACCGCATAGCGTTTTCTTTACAGGGGACCGTCAGGGGGGGATATCGGTTGGCCTGGGATATTGCGATTTCAAATTTAGGATGGACATGCGGTCATAATCATAAATGATTACATACCCGAAAGGGGGAATGCAAACGCGGGGGGGGGGGGGTAGATGCTATTCTGTTTTAGAAAGGAGAATACATTGAATATGTGTGGTCTGCGCTATGTGGTGCGACCTGCGTGACGCAATCTGTGCGACGATATATTTATGTATATGGTGCGATAAACGTGCTGCAAGCTCTATAATTCAATGTCTGTGGTCCAAGTTACGTGGGGTTTTGTACTTTAAGCAGTGCTTGTTGGACCATTTATGCGGTGCCATGGATGCGGGGCAATGTATGTGGTGAAGCCTATGCGCTGCAAATCACTTGCCGAACTTGAAGTTGTCAACTCCACTGGTCGAGCAATCATCCCACCCACCCACGCGCAATTTTGTCTGCAAAACCCGTGCTGGCGCGATTGCGATGAATGCTGGGTGTTGGCTGGTGCATCTCTGCGGCCGCGCTAGCCCTCGCATGCTCGCGCGCGCAGCGACCAGCTAGTTTGGCGCGGCCGATGCGAACGCGGTGGCGCTGGCCGCTCGGCACATCCCAGCGGGAACATCTCTACGAGTCGGCGACTTGGGCGGGCGCGGTATCATGGCAACGTCGACAACGGTAGACACAATGATGATAGTAGCGATGCTGGCGACGATGCTGACAGGGACGGCGCCGATGCTGATCACGCCGACGACGATCACGGCGTGTTCGCGTCGGTGATCAAAGTTTGGGACAAATTCGAAACGCGCGCGCGGCAGACGCGCGATAATGGCTCGCATGGTATTATTCGACACGTGTCGTGCCACACCAGCACGCGCGCGCAGGATCGGGCGTTCGAGCGATTTCGACATGTGCGCGCGAAGCCCGTTTGGTAGCATGTTCTGAAAATATTGATAAACTTGTGGTCTTGCTTAAGAAATCGCCAAGAGCGCGCACGCTTTTGCTGAAAATCCGTGTTGCGAAACCCAATGTATTATTGTGTATGTTCTTTGGACACTCGATTTTGAAATCTCTCCGAAACCGAAGGTTTTTGAAAGATTCCGGCATGCGCGCGCATTCTCCGTCCCATTTTTCCCAGGGATTCTTGAACATTTATAATTTTTGGGCTCGTGGGTTGCTCTGGAGCCGTCCTGGAGGCCTGGGCGATCTTGGGGCGATCTGTGGGGGCTCTTGGACCGTCTCGGGCCGTCGGATGGCTGAACAAAAAAAAAAAAATCTCTTCGAAAACCGAACGACTATCAATGATTTTGGCCTCTTCGGGCTGTCCTGGAAGCTCTCTTGGAAGCCACTTGGGCCGTCTGGGGCCATCTTGGGGCCATCTTCGGCCGTCTTGGTGGGCTCCTGGCCCGTCTGACGCCGTCGGAAGCTGATTTGGGGGCCTCTCTGGGCCGACTTAGGGTCTCCTTGGGGTGCTCCAGGGCAGTCTTGGAGGCTTCCTTGGGCGTCTTAGGAGGCCTCTTGGGCCGTCTTTGGGCCCTCTCGGGACCGTCTTGGGGGCCTCTTGGGCATTCCTGGAGGCCTCTTGGGCGCTCTGGGGGCGATCTTGGGGGCCTGTGGGGCCGTCTTGGGTCGCCGGAAGGCCGACAAAGAGCAAATACGAAAATCGCTTCAAAACATAAGGAAACTCAATGATTTTAGCATTTTCGGGCCCTCCTGGAGGACCTCTCGGAGGCCTCTTGGGCCGTCTTGGAGGCCTCTTGGACACCTCTTGGGCAGTCTTGGGCCGTCTTGGAGGCTTCTTGGGCGTATCTGGAAGTATCTTGGACGCTCTCAGGCCGTCTTGGAGACCATCTATAGTTGGAGACCATCCAAGATGGCCTAGATATCTAGGCCATCTTGGATGCATCTTGGAGGCCAATTTGGGCCATCTTGGAGCCGTCTGGAGATAAAAAACCTTTGCAGCCACCTTTATGCACTTTTCCGGGTTGCCGGCGGGACGGGCCGAGGCCCCAGGGGGAGCTCTAAAAGAACCAAAATCGAAAGGGCCTAGCACGCCGGGCACCCCTGTGGCAAGCCAACAGGGGGCAGCGGATCGAATGGCCTTCGGCCTATGCCGCCACCGTGCCTGGGTTGCGGGTCAGACTCATCAGGGGTGGTTTGGGGGGTCTCTTCGAGGCGCTTCGGTGGCCTCTTGGGAGCAGTTTGGGGGCCTCTTGCCTCTTGGGGGCTTCTTGGGGCCCCTTGAGGGCCTGTTGAAGCCTCTTGGAAGCCTCTTGGAGGCCTCTTGGGGCCTCCTGGGAACCCCTCGAGGCCGAAAGCTCGAAATGTCCCTTCGGGTTCCCCATCTGGCCCCCTCTTGGGGCCGTCTTTGGGCCCTCTTGGGCCGTCCTGGGCACCTCTTGGGACGTTTTGGGGACCTCTTGGGCCTTCTTGGGGCCCTCTTGGGGGCCTCTGGAGCCGCCTTGGGCGATCTGGGGGGCCTCATGGGCCGTCTTGGAGCGCCGGGAAGCTAGAAAGGCGAGACGCCAAAATCCTTTGAAAACCATTGGAAAATCAATGGTTTTGGCCTCTTAAGGCTCTCTTGGGAATCCTTGTGGATGCCTCTTGGGACGTCTTGGAGGCCTCTTGGGCAGTCTGGGGGCCATCTTGGGTTGGGCGTCTTGGGGCGATCGTTCGGCGACTCGGGGCCCTATTAGACCATCTTGAGGTCTCTTGGAGCTCTCTTGGCCCGTCTTGGAGCCCTCTTGAGCCCTAGATGCTCATGCGACAAGCCGCGGGGAACCGCGACAAGCCCCAGAAGATTTGGCAATTTAGGCTCCAGGCCCCTTGAAGACTCCTCAGGAGTGGAGATTGAAGCTTAGAAGAGTGGGCAAAGGACCTGAGGACATGCCCACTCCGTGACCAGCGGTACGGTGACAAATGATTGGTGGGGAAACCGTTGGTACCCGCACGAGCAGCTCGTGCCGGCACCTGACGGCACCGGCAAGTCGTTTCGAAAAATCGTCCGGGGAACGGGGTAGTTGTTCATCCCGGGTCCGCTTCTGACGGTCGCGGAGCACAAAAACGGACAAATCCATCCCAATCAAAACTGACAATACGGATGCGCGGTAAAGATGCAAGCCCCTTGGACGCCCGTGTTGAAGATTTTCCGAGCGCGGCGGGCCATCGAAAGTAGGCAAGGATGGACCAAGGAGCCACGGATGCAAGGGTCCCCTTGGGAATGTTACCACTCTTCACCTTACCATCGGTTCCGACTGTAGGTGAGAGAGGGCGCGGGGGAAAAGGAAACACCTTTGAGGCGTTGTTTCTGCACGCGCCGCCGCACCCACGTCCCAGCGGAGTCGTCAAGGCTCTCCGTGTGCAGCCTTGGAGGTGACATTCGTTCCGACGTGCTACTAGGCGGCGAAGGTCGAAGTGCAACCTGTGAATTGCACTCCATACAATGTATGCGTTGGAGGTGTTCTGACTACGAGGTTAGATCGGACTTCCCCCCCGTTCCAGCACGTTAGCATGCACAGTAGCAGCAGGCAGCATGTAGAGCAGGCATGGTAGCATGTCCCGACGCTGTGTTGTTCGAGAGGCCTCTCGCACTGACCAAAAAGAAACGACTCTCCCCTCTGGGCACGCAGGCCGATAGCTTGGAGGCGAGAGAGTAGCCGTTGGCAGAGATTCTGGGCTTCGATTCGAAAGGTTTGGAGACTTCGAGCGCTTCGAACAATTTACGCAACACGTTCAATTTACCGCCAACATTGATCATTGAGGGAGGCATTGACAGATGAATGTGGCAGCAGTGTCAGCTAAGCAAGCAAAGCATTATTCCGAGGCCTGGAGGGAGGAGGGTTGGCAGAGCAAGCAAGCGCGGCAGATAAGCAGACATGCCGAGCAAGCAGGCACGGACGACCTCGGACGAAGGCAAGCGAACAAGCAACAGCTAGCAAGAAGGCAGGGAGGCAGGGAGGCGCGAGCAAACACAATCAAGCGCCGAAGCGAGCAAGCACGCCAGCAAGCAAGCATACCAGCGAGGTGAGAGTAAGCGCAACCAGTTACAATCAAGAGCGAGGAACGAATCGATCAAGCCAGCGCGATCTGGACATCCCACAAGCCCCTTGGGTGGAGGCGGTACAACCAGTTTTCCAAAACCATGATTCCCAAATTCGGTGAGAGGCCTACCACTGCTACATGTTAACATACCCCTCCCTGACTCTACCAGCACTGGGCACCCTCGAAACGCCTACAGGCGGCAACGTGACGAAACCCCGATCCGCCTAACAAATGACGTAAGGCAAATAAGAACCCCTAAGTGCAAGCACCGTTTGGGGAATGAGAAGGACCAGAACATGACGAAGAGGAATACAACCTGTCAACCAAATCATGCCGCCCCCTTTCCGCGCCCACGAATCCTGCATGTCATCGATTCGCCGCCAACTCTTTTTTAACCCTGTTGCCTTAAGAAGATTCGATTGGCAGCCAATGACACACAGCATTGGCGTATGCGACGGCGCATGATGTCTTTGGCAGCTTCATCTCTTTCAGGTGCATAACTCTGCTATGATGTACATTGAAGCCATGCATTAGAGATGTACGTAAAGCTGATGATGGAGGTTGGCGATGATGATGAACCCCACAGGTTCACAAACATATGTAGCCCCCGAGGCTTCGGGGAAGCGCCGAGGCAGTCACGGAGGCGTCGCCCCATCGCTCAATCGTATCCCGCCTTCCTGCATTTCTGTATGACCCCTGGAGCGCCCGTGAACAACTGTGATGAATATTGTCTCCCCAAAAGGCTCTCTAAAACTGTAATTTGAAATTCTGTCTACGGTGTGGGTGGGAGCTGGGGGGCTAGGAGGAGAGAGGCGGGAGATCATTTCTGGCCCACTGGCGGGCCGTGCACCAACTTCCAGCCAGTCTCCTCCTTGGCCTCTTCTGCCGTGGCGACCTGGGCAGCCGCGAGCACGAGGGAGGAAACGAGCAGGGCGGTGTCGACCAGGATGACCAGGTTGGGGAAGTGGCGGGGTTGGAGTGGGGCAACTGACAGACAGGCAGACAGGCAGGAGCGAAACGTCCGAAGACGGCCCACTCGTGGGCAGCGAGGTGGGCCAGCAGTGGGGCAACAGAATTATCTACGCTTTGGCCGTTCTGTGCAACGCATCGCTGATTTACTGCGGCTGCGGACCCAGCCCTCCGACGTTGGGACGTTTCGTGCCGTGGACCGCAGAGCCCTGGACGCCCTCCCCCTGAGACTGGTGTTCATCGCGGATCGACTTTTGATGGTCCTAGCGGCCGAGAACGGGGCCGAGAGACCGATTACCCGACGTCGTGATCTTTTTCACAACGTTGCCCCCCAGACATCTGGACCCCTTCCCCAGGACGGGCGTTCCGTGCGGAGTCGTTTTTGGACGGTCCCTCAGGTCCTTTGATCAACCCTTCTCTTGCATGCGCGTGTAATTGCCGTAGTGACTGACGCCCTGCGTCTCCGCTTGCGGAGCGAGGGGCCTCCGCGGGCTCCTCGGCCGGACTTGACCTTGACCTGGACCTCGACCTCAGGGCCGGCTGAGGGCCCTGGGAAACCGAACCTTGCCAGAGACGCTGTTCGCAGCGGCCCCGAATTCCCAGGCTTCCTGGACATTCCTGGCGGTCGGTGCGGCGCCCCGCATCGCAGCGGCCAGACGGGGCTCTCGAAAGAACGCCCCTGGAGGCAACCCCAGGGAGAGGCTCGGGGGAGTGGCATGAAGCAAACGAGCCCTCAGGTCAGGGGTCAGGGGTCAAGGTGCAACTCCTGGAAAGTTTCATTCAGCATCGGCGCCGATGACCGGCATAACCTGGCTGAGCCTCGGCGAATTCGGCCCGATCCAGCTAAATGGCCCCCTCAGCGGGCTTCACAGCCGTTAGTCGTTCATTCGTAGACCTCCCATGAATTATTTCCAAACTGAGGTAGAGTAGGAGGGGTCCTGGACCCTGAGGGCTTCCCCCCAATACTGGCTGTGTTCGTCCCGAAGCGTCTTGTTGACGGCCCCCAGGGGCCGCAGAGGGCCTCCAGAGCCCGAAAACCGTGAAAAACACTACGTGGCGTGCTTTTCTTGCCCTGGGTCGGCTAGCTGACGGCCCCAGAGGACCCCAGAGCACGAAGAGCGCAAACAAAGAATCCAGGAACACCTGATATTGCTCCGGGTCGTTCTGTTTGAAGGCCCCGGGGACCGTGGAGAACCCCCAGAGCCCGAAGAGTGCGGAAATCAACTCCAGGACCGGCGGCCCCGGGACCTGGCCGGGAGGCCGAACACGACCAAAGAACTCCCGTCGTGGTTGCCTTCGTGTCGTGATGTCGTGCTCTCTCCAGACGCGAGCACGTCTGAATTTCCGTCGTGCCGATAATGAGACGAAGCCAGACGAGGAGTAAATGGGGACGAAGATTGATCGAGAATCTCTGAGATCCGCTGGCTCTGGGAAATGCCTCGGGCGCCGCGGCCAGTCTGAAAGCGTTCGGGAACGCTTTGAGAGCGTTGAGGAACGCTCCGGAACGGATCTATCCTCGTCCTAGTCCACGCTTGCTTCACGGCGACGGGGGGGGGGCAGGTCTCACCGGGATCGGGCTCCAGGTCTGGGGCGAGGGTGGCGGCACGATCCGAGAGGACGGCGGGCTGCCTGGGAGGCCTTAGTGTCGGAAGGATGGAAGTATAAAGACAGAGAGAACGACGGACGGAAGACAGACAGAGGAACGAACAGAGAGAGAGAGAGCGAGAAGGCTGATGACGAGCGGAATGAGGACGAGAAGGGGGAGGACGAAGAGCACGGAGAGAAAAAGAGAGAGATAGACAACAAACAAATACAACAAACTATGAAGAGAAGGATAACAAAAGACGGACTCTGTCGAGGATGCGGGAAACATGAAGATGGAACAACAAAAAGGGGGGAGGAGGACGAGGACGAAGAGGACGAATAATCGAGTAGAGAGACGCCAATGTTCTGGATCCGTGTATCATGGCAGAAAAAACACAATGACTAGGAGGACACAGAAGACAACGACGGCAACAAAAGTGATAAGGACGAAAAGGGGCAGGGCGACATCGAGAAAAAGGGAGAGAGGGAAACTGAGGAACAGCTGAAATGCTGATGATGATGATGAGGAGGAGGAGGAGGAGGAGGCTGATGATGATGACGAGAAAGAGGGGGAAGAGGAGGAGGAGAGGGAGGAGGACAAGCAGCAGGAGCAGGACTACAAAGAGGGCGAGACAGACAAAGAACGAACAGAAAAAGGAAGAGGAGGAGGGGGAGAAGGAAAACAAACAACAACAAAAACATAGGGAGAGGGGAAAAATGGAGAGAGGAAGGGGAGTTTGCGGCGAGGCGACCACAAGGACCCCCGACCCCCGGAGAGGGCGACGAAGGGGTAACGAAACGGGGAAGCCCAGAAGGGAGGAGGAGGACGGATGGAGGGAGGCAGGAGGAGGAAAGGAGGAGAAGGATGGAGGAACAAAAACTTGAACCCGAAAGATGTGCGCCGAAAGAGGAGCAGGGGCCGCGGGGCCGCGGGGCCCGCGGGCGCGGGGCGCCATACACCGAGGTGGGCGGCCTCGGCATCGGCATCGGTCCCCCGCACGGCACCGCCGAGCGCGCCGACAGCGCGGCCTTGCCAGGACCATCCTGCGCATCGTCAGCGCGCAGATGCTGCTGAAAAAACACCACAGCACGTTCAACATGTCTGAGAAAGGTGGTCATGCGCCACACCAACAACGAGCAGAAGTGTGAATTCCAGTTGCGCAAAAATTCCGGATTATATTGTTATACGCACGGAATGTTACACGAGCTGGAAGAGACACTGCCGGCGACGATAGCAAAAAAGAAAAGACAAGAGAAGAACATGTTAAACAAAAGGAGGAGGACATGTCGAAAGGACCCCATCTACAACAGCAGCATGATGCCTGCGGCGCAATACGCATTCGCCGCCATAGAATGGGACCGTAAGTTTCAAATAATACCAGCGCGGGCAAAAAGAGGGTGTACGATCATATTGGTAAGCTGTTGGGCACTACCATGATACAGGCACCCCCGGGGCACAATGTACGGCGCGAGGATACAGGTACTGGGCTACTGATATATACATATATAAATATATGTGTGAATGAGCAACTCTTCCACGGTACTGGCCAATTAACTACGAAACGCACATGAGCGAGCAAATGAAAGCGCTTCCACATTGGAAATGAAACGGTACCACCTGGATCGCGAAACCATGGAGCAGCAGCACATTACTGCGCAGCGGCGGGACGTGCTGGATGAAGTAAAGCTTACCACAACTAACATGGGCAAGGACAAATTGGACCCCGAGGGACCGCCAGGTTGCACAAGACGGCCAGCATGCGGGACTTCCCACTCAGCATCCCGCGCCAAATACTCATGGTACAGCGCCGCCTCCCCCACCGCCTCTTTCGCGCGCACCTCCGACGCCCAGGAACAGCATGTGCGCGCCAATGGGGTGCACCTACAACTTCGCCCATGACGAAAGGATCGCCTGTGGCGCCTGCAAAAGGGGGCGGGGGGCAACGAGAAGTTCGGTGCGCCGCAGCCCCGCGGCACCCACCCCGCAAGCACGCTCACCATGGAACCCGGCTGAACTGAAGCGCGCTGCAAGGCAAGGCGACGATGAGATGCCCAGGATGGAAGGACGGTTCGAGGTGCAGTCCGACAAGCATGCCAATACCATCGCGATGGCCAAACAGTAAACAACGGGTGCCAGTGCGAGGCGCCATGAACAGATCGAGGAGGCAGCCGCCCCAATAAAACGCCGATCGGATGACGACGGTAGAGAGGCAAACGAAGCGTCTCCTGCACAGCAAAAGGGACAACTGGACGGAATGCATCCTCATGGAAGGAAGCCTCTAGTTCATCGTGAATTTTGAAATATGACAATAGCACGAATCTCAGCGAAGAAACCGTGAACATAAGCAACCTGTATTCCGACAGCCCCAACATCAAATGGGTTTGAGGACGCCAGGAATTGACGAGGACCGATATCGCAGGGAGTCCCACGAGGTAACGCAGTTTAAGGAAGCGACCTAGAAAACCCACGAGGAGCAGGAGGCACACTCGCATTTCATCCAACATCAAATGGAAGACGCCGAAAAGAGCTGGGTGAGCATGGCCAACCGTGGCGCCCATGGCAAGAGGCGCGGCAGAACTGGCGGGGCGACCTCGGGGAACGCCAGGCAAAGTTGCACGGGGCTTGAAACAGCGAAATGAACGATTCGGGGGAAAGATACGGCTGGAGCATCGGGGGAGACGGGCGGGAGATCAGGAGAAAGCGCATCACAAAAACGAGCAGTTGCAAACCAGGGGGATTCAGCTAGACGGAAACAGCGCGGAGGAGAGGGCCGATCAGGTTCGCCCAAAGGCGAAGCAGTTCACGGAGATCGAGGAGCACCCGATGACAATGGCAAGGCGGAGCTATCTCAGGCAGATCAGCTTCGCCGCGGACCGCCTGCGGGCGAGGCGCGTCCTGAGTTGGCAACACGGCAACAAGGATCGGCCCGCGCGCTGAATTAATCCGCGGGGCTGGTGACGTCTACGATATCATAGTCGGCGCGCCTATCCGCGATGCGAGCAATAGCGGACTCCGTGGTAAGTCTGGCCAATATGGTACCCGCCAGCAGCGGTGATCCGGCAGTGACCCTCGGAGCCGTCGTTGGTATCTTTCCCCGGTATGTCCCTCCTCATCAACGCATTGGGTTTTCTCTTCTGTCGCGCGATTGACACGCCGGCTGAGCTCGGAACACTCCGCCACATAGTGGCTGGAAAACTGTGCGGGGCGCTGCCAACTCTTCGATCGTCAATAGGAGTACGCATAATTAGGGATCCAGGTCTGCCAGAAAGCAGGGGCCGCGTAAGAAACGCCGAAAGTCATAGCCCATAGAGCTGGTAACGAGCAGCCCCAAGTCTGCGCAACGGCCCCCCAAAAGGATGGCAGCAGAATTGCCCGACCCTCCTCTGCATCCCCGCTCATGCCTGCGCGCGCCCCCCCAACTCCCACAACATAGTCGCTGACAATTCGCAACACCTTGCCGACGCCGGCGATGTGAGCGCCGGAACGAACTACTGCTTGACGTTGCCGGCTGCACTCACATGTGGATGAAATGGGGACGACGCGGCGATGCGCTTGTTTGCCTCTTCCCCCATCGGGCTGCCGCAACATTTTTGCAGACAGCTCGGGGCCCAACGCCGACTGCGTGAGCGTGGAAGTCGGCTCATTCGACGGTCTGACGATGACGGCGGCGATGGCATGCGAATGCCACGTAGACGAAGGGCCCCCGAACATCTCGGACGTAGTTCGACAATGCCCCGGAGGGAGGGCCGGTGGGCGGGGGGCGCTGTACTTCTGGGGGCTGTTTCTGCTGAAATGCGTAGGTGTGCTGGGTCTCCTGCGCTGGCGCTGGCGGCTGGGCCTGGGAGGCCCCGCAGACCCTTCGAGGCACGGCGCCTGCCGGGCCGAGGTGGACGACGAGCCTGATCACGATGCGGGCAAAGCAGGTGCAGGATGCACGCTCGCCGCGAAAAGGGTGGAGCCTCGCGGGCCATGGCTGGCGGCGAGTGGTCGCGGGGCGGGCTGTTCTGCTACCGACAAAAAGTGGCGATGTGCGGTAGTTGTTACAATAACCAAGGGAATCTGACTGATGTGTGACACGAGAATAGCACGGGCACGGTCGGTTAACCGACCGCGCCCCCGAGTCAAAACGGCAGCGGACAGGGGTAAATATTCAGAGAGGCAGAAGCAAAAGCAGAGCGATGAGCCACCGCTCGAGTAAGGAACCGGCACGGAGGAGGAGGGAGGAGGGAGGAGGGATGAGGAGCAGGAGGGCATGCGTCCGGCCCCTTGATCCACAAGCCCCGAAACCCTACCCATGGTTTCTCGATGTACAGCGGAGGTCTGGGAGCTGACCACGCCCATGGGGAGTTGGTTCGAGGATGAGGGACGGAAAGTCTTCCACCTCGAACCACCTCCCACCATCCTCGAAGCCTCGCGAGATCCCGCGGAAGTCCCTGGGGATCTGTGGGGGACACTTCAGGAAGCAACTCACGGGAGGTCATCGTCAGAACGACTAAGAGCAGCCCGAATAGGGGCCCAGTAAGCCGGGCGAAATCAGACTAAGCCAGGGAATAGCCACATGAAACTGGATTGCGCGGAATTCAATCGGATAAAACGGGATTGCGCTGGATGAGGCCCGTTATCGACAACGGATATACCAGCGCAGATTCTGGGCCTCACCTCCCAAATCTGGCATATTGTGATCTGGACCTTGAGGCGGACAGGCATCCACTGTCGCGCAGCGCCAAACCCTGCGCGGGGGATTGATGGCACCGCAGTGCCCTCCGCCGGGCCCGTTACTAACAATTTTCCACGCAGAAGCTCCCTGCGAGGCTTCTCCACAACTGTGTCAAAAGCGTCAGGAAAAACAAAAACTCAAAGCAAACTCAAACTACAATCAACCCTCAAACAACAACCATAAAAACCGTCGAATCGCAGGAAGAATCGGAAAGCATGGATCCTCCCGCTTTTCTCGGCAAGCAGGACGTCCCCCGAAAACTGACACGCTGGAGGTTCATGGAATTTCTTCCAATCGCAGAAATATTGTCCAAACATGTCGATCCCCCCTGCTTTTGCCACATCCTGCAAGTTCATAGAAAATCGTCGATCATGTAAACATCATAAAACAGCATCGATCCTCCTGGCCATCCCGAACCGATAGAGGTCATTATAACGAATTCTTACTCCTGGAGGACTTCCCGACACGCTGGAGGTACCGGGAACGAGGTAGGCAGCTACACGCAAGAGTGGCTGGGCAAAAATATGTTTGGCCCAATTCGCTGCACGCGGTGCGACAATACCGGCCTTCGTGCTGGGGTATGGCCACCGCGCGTTCCCGAAAGCCGTGCATAAAAGGTCGCTCCGACGAAGGGTCACTCTGGCGCGCAGCTCCCTCTCTCCTCCGTCCGGTGCTCGGGTCACAAATCGTGTCCCTGGCGGCCCTTCGGGAGGATTCGGGCACCCCCGCAACGCTCTCGGCAAGGCGCAGCCCCTGGAACGCATCCAGAGGCGGGCGAGCTTTCAGGAGCCGACGAAAACGCTGGAACACATCCACGGACATTTCCTCGAAAACCTCCGTGGTGACGCCAAAAAACCTCCACGACAATCAATTCGAAAGCGGCAAAAAACTAGCAGGAATCTCCATTGAAACCGCCTCAAGCCTCCCCAGACATCCGACGTCGCGATTTAATCACAACCTGGTTCCCCAGAGGTATGGATGGACTTATTCTCCAGGCCGGGCTTTTCCTCCTCAGTCGTTTCTGTCACCGTCACTAGGGGAAAAACAAAGTGACATAAACATAAAAACTGGGAGGTCCGCGCGGATTTCTCGGATCGGCGCTGGACCCCCCTCCCTGGCGCGCGGAGCGCGCCAGGGGCGGCGCCGGAGGCGCCGCCGGGGGCCCCAGCGCCGATCCGAGAAATCCGCTCGGACCTCAGAGTTTTCATGTTTATGTCACTTTTTGTTCTCCTAGTCACGGGGCCCGACGAAGGCTTCCAGACGGTAAAATGTTGCAGCAAAAGCCCTCCCAGACAAGCGCACTTCACCACTCGCAATATAGTTGCTCGCAAATGGCCTGGATCTGCCATCGCCGGACGATGCTCACGCCGCACGTGCACAATATGAGCTTCGAAGGACAGCGCGGCCTCCGTTTTGCCATGCATGAAGCGACATGCGGATGCTCGGTCCGCACGGGCAATGCCAACGTGGGGCCTGGCGGGCCGCTCGCCGCAGCTGGCTGGCGGAGCGGGGGGGGGGCGCGCCTCGTTGTACTGCGTGATGTCGCGGTGCAGGGTCCTGACCGCATCATTGTCAGCCCCAGCATCAGCAACTTCGACGTCATCAGCATGACCAGCAGCAGCAGCAGCAGCAGCAGCAGCAGCACCGCCATCGCCATCGCCATCCAGGATCAGCATCATCATCATCAGCATCATCATCAGCAGCATCATCGTCGCTATTCTAATCAACCACATCAGCATCCTCACCATAATCAGCAGCATCGCCATCAGTAGGATTCACCATCACGATCACCACCCCAAAACTATCCATCACCAACATCACCATCACAACAACCACGGTCATCATTTGCATCACTTCAACACCATCAACTCCAACACAAACATGAACACCGTTGATGCCATCAGCATTGTCGCGATACGCATAAACATCATCATCGTGATGTTTCATCCGTGACATCGCCACCAACATCACCATCATCATACTCACGTTTATCACCAGATCCATAATCCCACCAGCCCTCTGGGCGTAGGTGGTCTAGAGCAGATCCTCTTCCACCCCTCCCTCTTCCCCCTTGGGGAGGGGTTTACCCCTCCCCCTACCCCCTCCCCTGGACCTGGACGGAGGGTTTCGCGAGCGGTCGGACGGCTCTTTTGGCCCCAAGATTGCTCCAAGAGCGCCTCAGCGAGCCCAAGATAACCTCCAAGATGGCTCAAGATAGCGCCAGATCGCTTGAGATGGCTCCCAAAATGTTCCAAGAGGCCCAAAGACGGCCCCAAGACGGCTCCAAGTGGCCAAAGAGCTCCCCAAGGAGGCCCCGAAGAGGCAAACATCGTACCAAAACCTTAAGAAAAAACAATGTTTGTTGCTTTCTCCCCGTTTCGCTTCCGATGGCCATCCAAGGCCTCAAGATGGCTCCAAGATGGCCCAAGAAAGCCCCACAAGAGGCCCAAGAGAGCCCCAAGACGGCCCCAAGAGCGCCCAAGAGCGCTCCAGGAGCGCCCCAACAGGCGATGTTTGGAGCTCCTGAGGGGGGAGGCTAATTAGGGAACCCCCCTTCGTTGATCCATCTCCTCCAAGATGGCCCCAAGAGCGCCCCTACAGCCCCCAAGAGCGCCCCAAGAGCGCCCCCAGAGGCGCCCAGACGGCCCCAAGAGGCGCCCAAGAGGCCTCCAAGAGGCTCCCAAGAGACCCCCAAGAAGCCCCAAGAGGATCTCCGAAATGCATTTAAGACGCTTCTGGCTCTTCGGTTCGCCGTCCTCTTCAATGTCTCATCCCCCTCTTCCTCCTCCTCCTTCTCCTCCTTCTCCTCCTTCTCCTCCCTCTGCTCCTTCTCCTCCTTCTCGTCCTCCTCGTCCTCTCCCTACTCCACATCCTCCTCCTCATTCTCCTCCTCCTCCTCCTCCTCCTCCTCCTCCCTCCCCCTCCGACGAGGATTCCTTCTCCATCCTCCCCCTCTTGGGGTACGTGACAGCTTCCCCCGCCCTTTGTTATTCTGCATGCTCCCCGACTTCCCTGATCACCTCAACTCCCCTGGGCATCGTTTCTGGATGGGCTGGTGGGGATACGCGAAGCGTCAACAATAGCATTATTGCTACTGTTGTCGTCATCGTCTTTACCGCCATCACCATCGTCATCCCGCCATCGTCGTCATCGAATTCGCCGCCAACACCAGCATCACCACCAAAACCATCACCAACAGCATTCATCTCAGCAGCAGATGCATCATCGTCATCATCGTAATCATCGCTCAATTGTTCTAGAGCGAAAGGAGGCATCGAAGGCAAGCGGACATTTGACTGAACGCAATCACCAGGCCAAGCGCGACCTTGGACCCGGTGGGCACAATCTGAACACGCGGACGTGGAAATTGCGTGACTGTGTTTGTTCCGAGGCGAATGTAATCGTCGGCCTCGGCACAACCAGCTATCGGAACTGGCTGGGTCAGACAATCTGGTTCCGAATTCTCGGAAGTGGGGCAGAAATTGAAAACGATGCCAGGCTTCAACTATCATCCCCTGAATTATCAGCGAGCGCCGGGCTGAAGTCGCATTGACATTGGGCACGACAACAATGAAAACGATCGCGGCTCACGCAGCAGGAGCCCACTGCGACTTGAAGATCACTTCGCCAAGTGCTTCGACGACTCAGAGCAGGATTTGCCTCGCATTCGAGAATTCGCGCTGGATGGCGCGCGGCGAAGTGAAATGGCGCCCCCGAGAATTCGGCGTCAGTTTGGGCAATTGGCCAGGGGCTGGCAGTTCGCAAGCAAAAGTCCGCGGCTCGTATGAGAATTTGCGCCGAAATCCGCGCGGCGACGGCGGAGGGCGAACTGGATCTGGGAGAATGACAATTTGGGAGCGAAGCGGGGCTCTAGATTCAATTTTCAATGGGCCCCCTAGATTAGGAATGAGCTTCAGCCGTGCGCTGACATGAGATGCTCCGATCGCTTGAGGCATTGCCCTGGAAGCCTCGCGGTGAAGCTTGGGCAGCGGGCCGCTTCTAGGCGCGCTGGGAGTTTAGAAGCGAGGCGCGGCCTAAGAGTTAGTTCGCAGCGGGC